AGATTTCAGGCAGAATTTATTTTTTTACTTCCTAATTTCCCCTGATTTTCTAGAATTTTCCAAAAGTTGAATTTTTTTCTTGCAATTGCAGTGCGCTCCAATGGCTATGCCCCATTTTCCTCCTTAGTGCTAACACATTTATGAAAGATATGTGTTTACTCTTTTACCTATATAAAAGAGGAAATCTTGCAAATAAAATTGTTGTAAAATACCTACTAAATTCCATGAATCATTTCAAATTAGTTCAAGTACATTTATGTAGTTATAAACTATTTACAATACTACTAGATCATCTAGTATTATAGTTATACTATTTTGAGATTACCAATTTATTCTTCTATCTATTTTTTCATTATCAGAATTCTATAGGCTTCCAAAGTCGAAAATAGCTATTATATATCTAAGAATGATTGAATTAACACAATAAAAAATAGATTTCTCATGGTTGCAGAGACGTTTTGTGAAGGTTCTTAGTGAGTTTTAGGTTCAAATTACTTTACTAGAGAATAAATATAAAGCTAATGTTGTTATATGTTACAAATATGCACCTATTTAGAAATCATTCTTTGGTGCTACTAGAACCCTATTCTTTATTGTATCATAGAAATTAATAATTTTGGTTGACTTGAATTAAACTTCAATTTTATCCATTTTGTGTTAAATATTATTATATAATTTACTTCTTCGCATGCAATTAGAAGTTTGAATTGCCAAAAGTCAAATTGCTTAATTCGCTATGCATATCTAATAAGCAAAATATGAATAAAGTATATAAATTATCAATTATACTTTTTAGTTGATTTCATTACTAACTTCATTATCACATGTATGATAAATTATCAATTAAGCATCAACTTATGTAATGGTCTCACAGACTAAATTCGTTCCTAGTGATCACGACTAACTTATCATTAGCAGAAAAAGTATCTTATGAATAGAAGACTTCACCCCATATTCAAAGAAGAGGAGTTCCACACTTATCCACATATCCTTCTAGTCATTTATGAGAGCTTTTCCATCAATTGAGAGGCCAATGTATATTTGAAGATTATTTTCTACTTAACACATTCAAGGAGATGGGAGATAAGTTTTCCACAAGAGCTAGAGCTGGTTAAAAAAATTAGGAAGGATCCTAGCTAGCTCGAAACTTGAACAACTCCAATCGAATCTCATCTTATCAGTCCATGAAATAGTTCAATTATGTTGTCACATGGTACTATTTGATTAATTTTATTTATAATATTTTACTGCACTAATTAACGATGCTATGGGCCAAACTATGTGATACATCTGAACTCAAGTTTGGCAGCACTTTAGGTTATTTGCTGGGTAGGAGTCATGAAGGACAACAAGATCAATCAAGCGGACAGGTATCGTCATTAAGCATTTCTGTCTTTATGCCATCTTAGCCTTGTTGTCATTGCCCATGGCATGGTTCTAGCCAAAGTGGTGATTTTGGGCAAGAGATGATTCTCTTTCCATCTTCTCTTTCAATCCTAGACAAAGGCCCTTGTCTCCTTGTAGGAAGGATGATGCTAGCTGATAGAGAGGGAGGACGGGAATGGAGGGAGATAAGTGCTGTCTGTTTCAGGTAATAGTTGCTGTGGTCCCCAGGAGTTTCCCACTCACACACAATGATGACTGTGATGCCATAAAGTTTCTCTCTCTCTCTCTCTCTCTCTCTCTCTCTCTCTCTCTCTCTCTCTCTCTCTCTCTCTCTCTCTCTCCCTCCCTCATTCTCTATAGGTACAAAATTAGACACTATTTAGGGAATCTTGGGGACACATGGCTTGGAGGGATGTGATAGTAACTTTTTACGGCCATCTAATTATGAAGCCAAATCAAAGACAGATATTTCTGCGATACCAAGTTGAAGCTTTTGAAATTACAAAGGTGATATTTTTTTCGAAAACTATCCTGAATCGATTAGTGTTTGAGTAGACTTCTGAAATCTAAATTCGTAACATTATAATCTCTTATAATCCTTCATTATAATATGATTTATATTAGCGAGATTGAAACTTTTAATTGAACTCCCATTGTCAAGTTGTCCTTCAAAATTCCAAAGCTGGTAATATTTGTGAAAAAAGTTACTAAGTTGAATCATATTTTTAAGAACCAATTAAATCCTAAATCCTAGTGTCTAATTTCTTATAATCTAAGGCCCTAACGCTTTAGCCACTATGTTGACCATTATTTAGGAATTTTTTATTTTTCTGAAAATAAAAATAACCTCTCATTTTAAGTCATCTTATCTAGTTTCTATTAGTTATTTATTCATAATGAGTACATTTCTCATGTTTAATCTCCTATCTTTGCTTGTAGCTGGACCCGAATTATTTACGAGTTTTTAATAAATTGTGCAACTAATACTTATTCAAATAAAATTTGGTACCCATTATTCAATAAACAGGATAATAAAGAAATAATTTATTGATTTCCATTGCAAGAAAACCCAGATTTTTGGGACGAACAGAGAGGCGCCTGACGCTTTCCACGTGGCTTTTTCGGCTTCGCTCTCCCTGCCGAAAGTCTGAACCCACCTCCGCTCCAGACAAGGTCGTCGCGACTTTTGTCTTGGCTATTCTTTTTCGTAGAGTCCCTCAAGGAAAAATGAATTACTAAATCATACTCATGCTTACTGTATTGAAGCAGTATCCCAGTCATATTAATTTGTAGTTTTCAACGGTTTTTATCAAATTAATAATATGATGTGGGTAGAATACAGAGGTGACGGCAGATCACCAAACGAACGACAATGACACGTGTCCTTTTCTTTGCGGCCGGCCAGTTGACTGAGAACGGCCGGCGCCGCCCACGCTTTTCGTCGAGGCAATCGTCCTCCATAATAACCCAAGGATTTTCACCTATTAACGCAAATGCCACTCCCCTCCCATCTCATGAAGAACAGTCAGCGGATCCGATCGTTACTTGTATATCTGTCTTTATCGATAATAAATAATCCATATATTCCGTTTTATTTTATTTTTATTTGACTATTTATAACACCTGAAATTAAATAAATAAATATCTTCCATATAAGATCTATATCCCAGATAAAATGATGGATTAAATCTGTACTATCAATCGAGGAAATCTTCATAATGATCCACATATTTATCATAACTTATGACATGTATGGGCTGCTAACTTGTGTTTGATTATCGCATTTTAATACTTTACACCGGATCAGCTATGCTTCAATGAAATATATTTATATTTTGAAATTAATTGTTCACCATATTAATTCTACCCTCATCTCTTTTTTTTTTTAAATTAAAATCTTTAGACCTATTTGAATGAATGTAAGTAGTTAGTGAGACATAGAGAGAGGAAGAGACAGAGAGAGAGAGAGAGAGAGAGAGGGAATCTATGAGAAGCCCGAAGTGAAAATCTTATATAATTAGAAAAAACTAATTTTAATGGCGAATATCTAAAGAAAGTTTGAAATTTTGGAAAAATGTCAACGCTTCCACTCTCCCATTCCCATCTCTCTCTCCAAGTCAGATGGATAGCATACAGCTGAAGTCTTCGTCTCAATCATGGTACATGTAATGGCGACCGTTCGGGCGATGACAGGGTGGAGGATCCCACGAGGCCACCCGACCGATGCCTTCGCCATTGGGCAATCTCACTGTCGGCGTTGCCCGCCGCCAGAATTCTCACGTGGGTAGAGAGAGAGAGAGAGGAGTCCCCAGCTGGCCCACTGTGCGTCTGAGGGGCAGTTCTTGAAATTATAAGGAACAGGCCTTCCAAGAACTGGGTCTCCTCCGGGTGGCCGCCGGAGACAAGAAAAGACAGAAAAATAAGCAATAAAGAAAGGTGGTGATTACGGAAGGGGGAGGGCTGGCTACAAAGAGACGCACTTGCCCGGTTCTGACAGGAGAGAGAAAGGAAGAGAGAGAAGGGTGGGAGAAGTCAGACGAATGGGTTGAGGAACGATGGAAAGCAGCTGGGAATCTCGCAGCTGCTCTGCCTTGGAAGAGATGGAGAGAAAGAACTTCAAGGCTGAGCTCCGATTGATCCTTCCCCTTTCTTCGGGGTACAGTTTTTCTCTTCCTCCTTTTCCGGTTTTTCCATACAGTTTTTGCGCCCGGGTCATCCTGAAACTGCTCTGCTCCCGTCTGAAGATCCACCGGCCGGATTCGCGCACCTTCCGTATTCGTAGCACTCCCAGTAGAAGCAGAGCCTTCTTGTTTCTTCTACCCGCACCTTTTCTCTCCGACAGGATCAACCCGTGTGGATTTGATCTGGCGGATGTGTTGGTAAAACCCAGATGGAGAACTCAAACGAGAGAGTTCCTGCTCACGGCAGGCGGACACAGTTCTCTTGTAGTCTTCACAACGTTTTCGATCAAGCCCTCCTCATAATTTTAGATTCGATGTTCTGAGATACATTCGATATGAATTCTACATGCTCTTACACCTTTTTTTTTCTGGTGAGTCGCTTCTTTCTCGTGGAATTTCTTTTTTTTTCTTTTATGTTCTTCTCTCTTGCCGTTTTCCGCATGAACACTCTGATCCCCGTTTTCTGGGCTTTTCGTTTGGACTTTGTTGATCAGCTGTTTCATATTTTCCGTGATCGACTTCTGGGTCTCCTTTCAAAGTCTGAATCGTAAGTCTAGGTCAGTTTTTTCTTTTTTCCATGCCTCACAAGACATGAATTAAATATTTTTCTTCTTTGATCTTCTCTTTTGGTCTATTTGACCTTTAAATTTCCGATTAATGAAATTCAACACGTGATTTCCATCTATGAATCTGAAGATCAGGTCAACTTGAGCCATTTTGATCAGGGCTTTCAGAGGGTCAGGCCTTTGGGGCAGGGTAAGCTCCAAATCTTCGGTGGTGTAGCAAAGCGACGATTCTGACTTTGGCACTTAGTAATTGGTTTCTTTCTGTTGATGAGAATTATGCGGTTGACTTTCTACAGACCCAGGGAAGGAGGCGTCTTTTGACTACCAGATTGGAAACAATCCCATCTCATTTACCTGAGTTGGAGTGATGGCGAAGACCATGAATGCCAATCCCAGGCGCATGTATTCCTGGTGGTGGGACAGCCATATCAGCCCCAAGAACTCAAAATGGCTTCAGGAAAACCTCAAAGGTATTCCAGAAGTTGTCTTGTATGCTAGTAAGGAGATATATGATTTGAGTGCAAAATTAGATAACATCTTGGCGTCTTACATTCTCTTGGTTCAATCGAATAATTTCTATATTTATTATTTTTACATGTTTTTATTAAATAAAAATCTATTATACTGGTAATTCATTCCATCCTAGAAGAGACGGATTATTTTCTGAGAAGGAAAGAAATTTGGGGCCATGATTTTTTTTGTTTTTAGATATCTATAAAGGGAAAAAATGGGATGATGTGATGGATTTAGGAGAGGGAAACAAAAATGACAAATTTCCAATGGAATGAAATTCTGGAAATATTTGATTTGAATGACTAATTTCCAATGGAATGAAATTGGTAATAGAGGGAATATATTTGCCAGCTTTTATTTTGATTGACGAATTAAATTAAAACTGGGAAATATATTGGTGGTGATTATTTATTAAAGTTGATGTGGCCTAGGTTCAAAATCCAATGGGTCATGGTACTTCATCCCTTTTTTTATTTATTTATTTGGTGTGAGATTATTCCAATCTGAGGTGAAATTATCTAGATATGATTGTTGGTGCCTGATATAGAAGCTAATTCATTTAATTGGCGATAGGATTTGCTCATATTTTACATTTTTTTGACATATTTGGCAGGAAGATAATTCTTTTTAATTTCAGCAATGGAATATAATATGATCTCAGATATTAACCAGGTCTAAATCTAATCACCACCTTCAGCATAAATAAATAAAAAATAAAATAAAACTACTTCCATTGTCTGGGACAACCAGCAGGAACGAAAGCTAGGACCCTGAAGTGCATTAAAGTGGCCAAAGTCAGTAGGTGCGCCTTCTTCCCATTAATATGGAAATCGAATTTGGATTAAATTTTTGCTGGAAAATATATTTTTTCTATTAAAATTTGCATCCACCCGATGAAATCTTTCTCAGAAACTCTCACCCACCTTCAATGACAGCACCTTGCTGCCTGCTTACGTTTTGCGTTCATATGGTGATAGCGTGGGGTGTTCTTGCCTTATCCATTCATATGGAGATGGTCTGATGGATGAGCTTGGGAACAAATTTTCGCAAGGCCTTCCAGTTTCAGGGTGATGGATTATGAGGTGTGATTGGTCAACAGGTGTCCAGTCCTTTGGTCAGTGGGGGTCCAATGAACCGAGAGAGATAAACTTTGGATCATATATGCACAGATCTTATACACATGATGCGTTTATGTATCTGAATTTCAAGGCATAAATGTAAATACGTGGAAAAAATTTCTCCATTCCCCCATTTAACCCATTTTTGCTCTCTTCTACATTGCCAGATATGGACATCAAGGTAAGCCTGATGATCAGGCTTTTGGAAGAAGATGGCGATTCCTTTGCCAGGAAGGCAGAGATGTACTACAAGAAGCGGCCCGAGCTCATGAAGCTGGTTGAGGAGTTCTACAGGGCCTACCGTGCGCTAGCGGAGAGATATGATCATGCAACAGGGGCACTCAGGCAGGCGCATCGGACAATCCAGGAGGCGTTTCCCAATCAGATCCCTTCCACCCCAACGGATGATCCCCCGTCTGGCACCTCGGCCACTGCAGATTCCGACCCGCATACGCCTGAGATTGATCCATCAATTCGAGCATTCATTGAGGGTGATATCGCACAGAAGGAAACTTCTGATGGTGAGCACCCCTATCTTCATGCCATTAAAAGGAATGGAACGTGCTCCGAAGAGAATGATCGGGCGAGTGGGAGGAGGGGCTTGAAGCAGCTGAATGACATTTTTACTCAAGGGAAGGCCAGAAAGGGCCTCAACTTCCATGAGGAAGAGGGAGAAGGCCGTAGTGGGTCAGCTTTTTTTCAGCCAAAGGAAGTCGGAGGCAGAGATGGCGTTGAGTATTCCCAGTTATCTTCTGAGAAGGAGATGGAAGAGATGCCGAGGCTTCGAGAGTCCCTGTCCAAGTCAGAGTCTGACAGGGAAGCTGCTCTACTTGAATGCCAGAAGTTCTCAGAGAAGTTATCTAACTTGGAGCTGGAGATTTCTCGTGCTCGCGAAGAGAATGGGAAGCTCAACAGCGAGATGGGGGTCAGGCTGGAAAGTTCTGAGGGGAGGTGTCTTCTCTTGGAGAGAGAGAAGGAGGCTCTGAAGGAGAAAGTCAACGCTTTGAACCAGCAGATAAATGATCGAGGGCGGGATCTGGAGCAGAAAAAGGAGGAGCTTGAGGAGCTGAAGCGTTCCTTGCAGGAGGAGGTCAACCAGTCCCTAGAAAAGTTGAAGGACGCAGAGTTGAGCAACCGCAGCTTAGCAGAAGACCTGCAGAATGTCAAAGAGCTCAATGCCAATCTGAGTAAAGAACTCAGATCGAAACAAGAAGAGCTGGAGAAGCTTGCCAGTTCCGTCCAGGAGGAGAGTTTGCTGAAAGTACGAGCTGAAGAAGCCCTCCAATCTGTGGAGAAGCTGAACTCACGCTCTCAGGAAGAGATGAAGGTCCTTTTCCTAGATCTCCAGAGCAAGGCTGAGATGCTGAACGATGTGGAGTCCAGGAGGCGCCATTTAGAGGAAGAACTGGAGCAGCACAAGGACGAAAATGGGAGCCTAAAAGCCCAGATCCTGTCCTCTGCCTCAGTCATCAAGAATCTGCGCGAGGAGATCTCCACCTTGGAGGAAACCCAGGTCAGACTTGACAACGAGGTGCACGAACACACAAAGGGGAAAGCAGCCCTTCAACAGGACGTTCGCCTTTTGCGGGATGAAATCACTGATTTAGATATGAAGCTCCGATGTGTGATAGAGCAGATCGAGGCTGTGGGTCTGAGCGAGGAGTCATTTCAAGTATCAGTGGGTGAATTGCAGAGCAGGCACCGGGAACTCAGAGAGCGCTGCGAGACCTACGAGGATGAGAAGGCTGTTCTTCTTGGTCACGTGGAAGAGGCAACTGAGAAGAGCGTGCTTTTAGAAAAATCTCTTTCCGAGACGATGGCTGAGTTGGAAGGATTGAAGGCAATGGCGAGATCCTTGGAAGACTCTTGTGAATCTTTGAACAAAAGAATGGCAGAACTTACTGCAGAGAATGGCAGTTTGGCTCGTCAGCTGGAGGCCACCACCCAGAATATGGAAAAGCTTTCGGAGAAGAATACCTTGCTAGAGAGCTCATTTTCTGACGCTAATGGAGTGATTGAGGGGTTGAGGGAGCAAATGCTGGGCAGAAACATGGAGGTGAAAGAGCTCCACGAGTCCCATGAATGTGAAAAGCTTGTCCTCCTCGGCCACATAGAGAAAGCAACAGAGAAGACTGTGTTCTTAGAAAAATCCCTGTCTGAAACAAGCGTTGGCTTGGAGGGAGTAAAAGCTAAGGCGAGGTCCTTGGAAGAATCCAACGAATCCTTGAACAGAAAAATTGCAGAACTTGTCACAGAGAATGGCAGTTTGAGCCACCTGTTGGAGGCCAGTACCCAGAGCATGGAAAAGGTTTCAGAGAATAATTCCTTATTGGAGAAGTCCTTGTCCAATGCTAATGGAGAGATTGAGGGATTGAGGGAGAAACTGCAGAGCGTACACTTGGAGCTGGAACGTCTCCGGGAAACTTCCAAGGATGAGAATGCTGTTTTTCTTGGTCACATCGAGAAGGCGACTGAGAAGAGGACGCTTTTAGAAAAATCCCTCTCTGAAGCTACTGCTGAGTTGGAAGGATTGAAAGTCAATGCAAGATCCTTGGAAGAATCTTGTGAATCTTTGAACAGAAGAATGATAGAACTTACTGTAGAGAATGGCAGTCTGGCTCTTCAGCTGGAAGCTGGTACGCATAATATGGGAAAGCTTTTGGAGAAAAATGCCTCGTTGGAGAGCTCATTCTCCGATGCTCACAGTGAGATTGAAGGTCTGAGAGAGAAACTGAAAGGTTTAGAAGAATCCTTACAGTCTCTCTATGAGGAGAACTCGAATCTCCAGTCTGAAAAGAACTCACTCACATCTCAGGTGGGGACTTCTGGTTCCCTCTTTTCAAACACGTTTGACGGGATTTTTTTCTTTTTTTCTTTTTTTTTCGTTGAAAAGCTTGTGGGTTTTCTGTGTGATCTTTAATTCTTTTTTAGAATCTGCGCACTTCTTTGAGACATGGTTAATTAATTTTCCTTACTGGGTTATTGCAATGGACTGCAAATCCTAAAAATTTCAGGTCGAAAATGCCTGTGCATCTGCGGAGAAACTGACGAAAAGTTACGTGGATCTGGAAGAGAAGCACCTGCATGTAGAACGAGAGAAAGAGTCAACTCTTTTGCAGGTGAACGAGTTGCAAACTTCGCTGAAACTTAAAGGGGAGGAACATGAAGCTTTTGTCTCATCAAGCGACACCCAGTTGGCCACTTTGGCAGGCAATTTGAATCTCTCACAGCAAGAGTGTCAGCTTAAGGAAGAAGAACTCGAAAGATTGCGCGAAGAAATTTTAGACTCTGAAATCAAAGGTTTCATCTTCCAGTGGCATCTCCTTGATGCAGAAGAACGTTTCCAGGCGCTCCTGGCGTTGTCAGCCTCTGTGGAGAGATCGCTTTCTGACATGGGAAGAGAAAATTTTGAACAGGAGAAGGTGATCAAGTCCCTTTCAGAGCATAATAAGAACTTGCAGGGTGGGATCGAGGGAGTTTTAGAGCATCTGGGCATCAAAGGTTCTTGTGGGTCAGACGGAAGTAAAGATGATTCACACTGTCAGAAAATAGTCGTCAAAATTAAGGAAATACAGAAATTTCTCTCTGACACCCTCGATGAGAATTCCTTCCTTGTTATTGGGGAATCGGTGAACACCGCCCTTCTGGAACAGCTGGGCCTCGATCTTATGATCCTAAACTCAGAGAAGAGCTCCCTTAGCCGGGAATACAGAACAAGGACTGGGCAGTTGTTGGCACTGAAGGGCGAGAAGCATGAGCTCCTTCAAGCAAATGAAGAGTTGACGCAGGTTGTCAGTGCTGGCCATCTGAGAGAAGATAAATTGAAGGCTGAACTGGATGCTCTGGGTAAGAAGCTGTTGGATTTGCATCAGAGCCACGAGAAATTGCAGGCTGAAGTGCATATCTTGCTGGGTGAAAACCAAACTCTGGGGAAAGTTGTTTCAGATTTGAAGGGTCAGATTGAAAATCTGGAGGAGGAAAATAGCTCCGTCCTTGTTGAAGCCATAAACCTGAGCTGCCTTTCTCTTCTCTTCAAGCAGCTTGGTGCTGAAAGAACGATGGACCTGAAGGCCTGCAGCAGCAACTTGGATTCTCTCCGTAGAGCTCAAAATGCTCTGGAAGACAAGATGGCGAACCTGATCCAAAAAACTGAAGTGTTAGAAGGGGAAAACGGTATTCTTAAAGGTTCAGCAATTACGTTAGAGGCCGTTCACAAGAGGTTGAATCAACAGATTGAAACTGGGCAAGATATATTAGTTCAGAGGGACTTGGAGCTCACTGAAGCGCTTCAAAAAATCAAAGTCTCAGAAGACGCCAACTTGAAATTATGCACGGATTTGGACGCCATCAGGGTTAAGCTGGATGATTCCCTGGCTCTGAGGGAAGAGTTAGAGAAGGAGATTCGCAAGTTGATTGATGCCAGCGCACACAAGGATGAGGAGATGGCACATGCTCAACAGGAAAATCAGACGTTGAGTGGAGAATTGCAGGATTTGAGGGATGAACTTGTGGTGCTCCGAGCCACCATAGAGCATCTTTCATCTGAGATGACGCAAGAGATCAGATTTTATGAGGAAGAGGCTTTTAGGCTGTGGAATGATGCTCATATCTCTACAGTATATGTTCAATTTATCGAGGAGAAAATGCTTGAGCTGATGGGGGAATGTGAGAGCCTTGAGATGTGTGCCCTGGTTCGTCAGAAGATGCTTGAGGAGCATGTCATTCTGGTCCAGACGCATGCTGATTCTTTGGAGAAAGAATGCAGAACATTGAAGACCAAGCTGAGCACCTATCTTCCCCTTGTTTTGTCCTTGCAAGACAGTATGGCCTGTCTAGAACAGGAGATGCTTTCTGTGATGCAGCATCGTGGGCTGAAGGGCCATTCAACACAGGTGTGCTCTCTCTCAAGATGCCTGTTGTTCGTCTACGCCAGTCATCTCTCTAGTTCTCTTCTTGTTCACTTGAATCTATCAGCACTCACCATCAAAAATATGCCTTTTATTTGTTTATTTTTCTCGAAGAAAAACCACGGCCGATTAGGAAATTCAGTCGGATACACAGACCCTGTTGTTGAGACTTTCACTTATGAAGAAGTATACCTTTGATCAACATTATTTTGTACTAATCTGCTCTATTTTGTGTTCACATTTCAGGACGCATCGTCGGTTAGCCCTGAGCTCGTGGAAAGCCATGATCACCTGGTGGAGAATCCCAGAGCTGATGAAGCCAATGGGGCTCTGCTGGGGCTTCAGAGGTTGCAGGTGCGGGTCGAAGAGCTTCAGAAATTTGTAATGAAATGCCGTGATTCCTCCATGTCAGAGCCGGCGGGGAACAAAACTGAGGAGGAAGCTAAGGGCAGCAAGAACACGATCGTCCTGCCTGATTTGGTGGGTCATGAGGATTCCACTAATGGGAATGGGTTGGCGATCAAAGATATCCAGCTGGATCTGCCTTCATGTGATCGGTCTGATCGGAAGGGTGAGACAAAGAGCCCAGAGACTGATGATCAGATGCTAAGATTATGGGAGACTGCCGAGAGAGACAGCAACAACCAGATCCTGAAGGCCTCACCCGTTGTCGGCGTTAATGACCTTCACCTGGTCGAGGGGGTGAAGGGGGCGGAAGAGAGCAGGTACCCTTCTTCCGAGCTGATGTCAGAGAAGGAAAGTGGCATTGACCAAATGGGTCTGCAGAGAAAGGTCAACTCTCGGCGAGGCTGGAGCCAGAGAATCTTGGACCGCCTGGCATCCGACACCCAGAGGCTGCTGACCCTTCAGAACAACACACAGGAGCTCAAGACCCAGTTGGAGAAATCCAGGGGGGGGAACAGGTCTACGGACATGAAGTACGATGCCATGATGGAGCGGCTGAAGAGGGCCGAGGAAGCCATCCAGGAGCTGGTCAACGCCAACAATGACTCGACCAAGAAAGCCGAGGGTCCGACCGAGGAGGGAGGGAGCCAGTGGAGGAATCAGGTCTTGGAGACTGTGCAGATCGGGCGGGAGAAGATTGCGAGGCTGGAACTGGAACTCCAGAAGATTCAGTATATCCTTCTGAAGCTCAAGGAGGAGCGTGAGACCAGGGCCAAAGGTGGCAGAGGGCGGTCGAGGACGATACTCAGGGACTATCTCTATGGCCGAGGGGATGGCCATGATGGAAGGAAGAAGGGGGGGCGGCTCTGCGGCAGCTGCATCCAGCCGAAGGTTGTGGAGGACTGATTGCCTTTCGTTGGCATATTGGCTGGGGACGCGGTGAAGCAACACAGATAGAGAGAGAGAGAAAGAGAGAGAGAGAGAGAGATGCCGCCAATTTTTCCTTTTTATGAATTCTTTTATTTTTCAGATATTGGTTCCTAGTTGAGATGAATTATTATGTATCTCAGTTAGCAAAAGAACTGTACATGGGGTGAATGATCTACTGCGATGCTGTGATTATTATTATGCTCTTTCACATGTTTCATTCAGCTGAGCTGTTCATCCGCTCTTGATGCTGAGGCTTGCTTCTTGGTAACCCTTGACTTCTTCTGTCCTCCGGAATCATATGATCTCTACAGGAATCCAACCAGAATCTCCAACGTTCATCAGTTTATAAAGGGTTTACATCAGCTTTGCCATAAATGGGCTGATATGGTTATCGGTTGACTTCTAATTCTCAGTTCATGAAAAAAGTCAGATTTGTTGGTTTTTGTGTTAAATCCAGAAATGATGACAATTATGGTAACGAGTGTTGAAATATTGAAAAGGGCTAGATCACCTGTATTAGTGTACCTCCTCCCCTCCCCCGCCCCATTCATTTATAAATAGATAGATGGGTGCGACAGGACCTGATAGGGATGGAGAGAGAGAGAGGAGACTGACAGAGTGGAGAGTGGGGAGGGGGCGGGGCAGAGAGATGGGCAACTCTTTCTTTCATCAGTTCAGCGCCACCTTGAAAGGCTGTAATGGAGACCAGCCTCCTCGCTCCTCTCAACATATAGGCGCATCTTTTACATAGCGAGACATAGAGAGAGAGAGAGAGAGAGAGAGAGAGAGAGAGAATTCACATACTAAAAAATAATCAAGTTTCCTAGGGAGGACAAGAAAACACAAGAATTTGACCCCCTCAATGATTCAAGACTGTCCACCCTCTGTGAGTTTGTGGTGGAGAGACCACTCCGCCGACACACAAAAATAGATAAAACATTCGACGGTCTTTTTGGAGGGCATCAGAGAACAGACCTCACTTGGGCCTTTTGAAGATCGATCGGTCTCCCCTCCCCCTCCCCCTCTGTCTGGAAACAGGAGCACAAAATAAATAAATAAATAAACATATTCGAAGCCGTTACTTCTCAGCAATCTTAATGGTAACCTCCGAGGATAATTCACCTGGATGGTGGAAGATGTGCGTACTCTCCTCCCCGTAGAGTTGACTTCAGCCGATAGAGTGTAGAGAATTTTCCTTAGGAGTTTAGAGTTTTGTGGAAAGCAGCCTGAAAGTTGATGATCAAACCAATCGATTTGATGATAGTTTCCAAGAACAGAAAAAAATAAATGAAGAAGCAAATCATTTGGATGGAAAGAAGAGGACGACTCTATGCAATTATATGCGCCAGATGCTGAGAGAAATTTCTGATGGGTTCCATGCAAAATGGATACAAGTGGAATGAACGCAGAAATCTCTGAAATCTGTCTGCAACTGGAAATGATTCCATAAGTGGGGGGGTGGGTCTACTTCAGCTGTTCTTCCAGTCCATTTTCCATGAGACCAAACCTAACACCAGGCCTTCTCTCCAGAGCTGAAGGAGCAACAAGACAGGCGAGGCAGAAATAGAAAGCGGCCAGGCCAGGCCAACCCATGAAAGATCCCCGGGTCTATATCTATGCAGAAATAGAAAAGAGTAGCCAATATAGTCTCGGATAGGAGATACGCACAGAGGTCGAGCTCTTCAGCAGCTCCCGTATGGCCATGGTGGCATAGCACGAAGCGGGCAAGGTGAACCCTAATTTCAAGGCCACCCGAGGCGGTGGAGCCTCAACGGCTAGCGGGCCTCTCTCCTCCTCGAGAGGCGCTGCCGCTTGAAAGCAAGAGACGCTGCTGCCGTCGCTGGATTCGTCGGTCTTCTCCGCAGAAGCTGCTGACTTAGAGAGGATGTCGACATCTGTCTCAACCAAAGGCATGTCGTCATCAGTGTAGCTGAGTAGCTCCCTGGGGAGAATAGAAGATGAGAGTCAACCTTCGGCCAAATAAGGGAATCAAAACAGCAGCAGGGGAACATCTTGAGACGTAAATATGCTCACCAGGTGAAGTCGGAAGGGCATTGGAAGACGCGCCGGTACCCTCCCTTCATGGAGGTGATGGAGAACTCCCTGTCAACGATTGGGTGAGTGTTGATGCATCAGAAAGACGTTGACTTCCGACAAAAGCAGAGAGAAATGGTGAGACTGGATTGGCAGAGAGAGCTACTTGGCAGCGTGGACAGTCTCTGTCAGTTTGATGGAATCCTGGTGAGAAAGAAAAAAGGACTGCATGAAATTTTGCCGACAGATCAGGAAAACAAAGAACAGTAATTAAAGCTTGCTTCTATCTTACACCTTGTTGAGAACAGTCATGAGAAAGGATGAATAATTCATCGAACCTTGAATAAATAAATAATCTACTATGCAGTAATTTATGGATGATTTAAAGTAATCTATATTACACATTGAATCACGATTTTAATTGATTTGAGCCCATCAGAAACAAAGACCCAACAAACATCACTAGGAAGAAACGAAAATAAGTAAGAAAAAGAAATTAAAACTAATTTAATAGCAAACTTTAAATAGAGTGTGAAAAATGATATCAGAAGAGCATGAAAGAAAATCATCGTCACCTTATCTGCCAGCTCATGATACAAGCTAGCGATGTCATTCTCTGGATAGAGCATTCTTGACCTACACGAAAAAGGACACAAAATCAGGCACAAAAACACATTGATCGTAGCAACACATTGTGGGTTCATTGATGCCCCCACCCAGGCAAAGGGAGTATGACATCCTCTAATGTGTAGCCTCCCTCAGCGAGATCTGCATCGTCTATAGCCTGGAAAATGATAAAAAGTCTCTCAAGAATGCGTTGGCTGTTGCTTCATATGGTACATTGAAAAAGAGAAGATATTCACAAATAATTCAGCGCTAGGATGGGCAGCAATGGAGGAAGAATGAGAGGTCACATGGCCAATATTTTCTTCTAGGTAAGGAAATGAACAAGCAAAAAATAAGACTGTAGGTCACCACTCGAAGATCAGTCTTTGGAAATAGATAGATATCACTTCACTTAAACACATTAATGTGGTAGTTAAGACAGTTATGACATTTTTATACATCAAGTACCTTGTGATATTGCATGCAAGAAAGAAGCAACATTGTTTCACCTTCACTGGGGGAGCCTTTTCAGTGGGTATTGGTGGGTCATCTTCTTCATCATCGTCATTAACATCAGTACAATCAATATCCTGAACTTCAACGAAGCCAGGTTTAGATGGTCCTCCAGAAGACCCTTTGCAGTAAACCAAGTCCCCTAAGACAACCTCGTCTACACCTGTTAAAGAGAGAAGCTATCAAACATAAATAAACTCTTGTAAACAGGGAATATCTTGCAAACTAAAACAGAAGAATCAGTAGTTAATCATATTCTATAGAAAGCTGGTCTGAACCAAGTTTTTGACCTAAATTTAGGCAATTGGCGAATATATATAGAACGACTCATGAGAAAGGGCAAACAACTTGGTCTGAGCAGGTCGAACTCATCCAAGCAACGTAAGCTTCCAAATTTATGAATCCAGATCTTCACAGGCGTCCAATGACTCAGTGACCCCGGTCTTGGTTGAATTAGCGGAGGCCTTTGGGACATGGCGCTTGCTTACATAATCCAAGCTGTTGGATTGAAATCTCTCAAGCTAACTTGAGTTCTCTTGCAGGAAGGGGGTACCATATTTGGTTGTAAATGCCATCGCTGACGTCCAAACCCTAGGAGTTCCTCAGAAATTCATCATAGATTCTAAATTTACGTCTCAAAGGTTCCCAACCAAAGGACCAAATGGCCATTTAAAAGAAGTATAACTCTTGTTCGAATCAGACCAATCCAGGCAACCAGATTCTTTCCGGCCAATTAAAATTCTAATGAATCCATTCTACGGTTGTCTACATAGGTTTCCTAGTGTGCGTAGGTCTCACGAAGAGTAAAAGTTAGAGCTCCAATTTATTCTACCTCAACACTGATCTTGTAACAATAATCTGCTTATTTTTTTATGACAACAAATTTCCATCAATAAAGATGCAATGTTAGTACTAAATAGTGTGTTATTATTTGGCCCTACACAATCTGCATGAGAAAAAATAATTATAGCTATATCTACTATTTTATCAAAGTGATTTGCTCTTAAAACCCTTTAAGTATTGTAAGATTCTAAAAGTATCTTCCGAATGGTTTGTCTTATGATCTTCTTTTTAAATCAACAACTTAATCCAACAACTGGAGAGATAAATTTTGCGACCAGAAGTGTATGCCCTGTTTTTCTCTGACTGAAACTTTATTACTGTCTTAACCACATTTCGACAATGTGTTCCATAGGGGTAGCTGCAATATTGAACATGAATGGAGTGAATGATTCCTGACACATTTCTCTTGTATTGAGTAATGCCCTGTTCACTTCAGCCTGCCTCCATCATCAAGAAATAATTGAGATGACCCAAATCATTGGTCACGAACTGGTCTGTAAAACGTTGCTTCATTGCATCTATCTTTTCGTAACTTCTAAATGAAAGGAATATCATCAACACAAACACTGAGAATAACAACTTGTCGATATTAGGAATTATCCATGTACACTTCACCACAGTTCTCCATATTAGAAGACATTTTAAATCAAGTTGAAAAAATAGCCTAACATAAGTTAGATAATTCATTAGGTTAAAAGACCAAAATTAATGCACACCATCCCCACGCTATATCTATATGTATATATGCATATACACGTCTGAGAGGCACCTTCATGGAGAAAAAGAATGGAAAATTCCCTCTCTCTCTCTCTCTCTCCCTCCCGAACATGGTAATACCCTACGGTTAAGGTTGTGTCAAACCCATCTTCCTCTAGTTCCTCTTTGGCCTATGGCCCATGTCAAAGGCTTCCTTTACTTGGTAGCCTTCATCACGATCAAATTCAGACTAGCTTGAGTTTCTAATCTCATTAAAAGCGATGGCATGACATAATAGTCATGTTTCAAGAAAGGAATATATTACTGATCCATAAAGTCAAGTTATCAATCAATGAGATGACCTTTCTCGGGTAAACCATCCCGTTCTGTTTAGTTCACAACTATTAATGCCGATTACAGCAAACAAAGACTAGGGGTAGAGGTAGGATCATAAGAAGCATACCATATTTTTTCACCCTCATACTTGCTGCGTGGTTCCATAAGTAACTTTGATAGCTATGTACGTACCTAAATGTTAAGAACAACGAAAAGTTTCAAGAACCAAAAAAGTCACGACCTTATAAAAAGGAAAAAAAATATCAGAAGCTTTTTACCATTGATGCTCATCTATTTCAATATAACTGGCATACTCATGAGTCATAAAACACAAAAGTTCAATATCAGATAGTGCAATGGAGAATTTCAACTGTCTTAATGTAAAATGATATGGTGTTTTCAGCAAAACATTTTAGACCAGTTATGCTTGAAAGTTAATAAAGGATTCTTATGTCCATAACTGGAAAATTTTGGAAACCAGATCCTTTCAGCAACGATATAGCCTTAAAAACTAAGGTATCAAGTTATTGCGGGACACTTAGCTGAAGCTTGATGTAACCCATAGTTGATTCCCCAAATTGGAAACGTTTGACTAATCATGAGGCCATAGAATAATCTCCTCCAAAAATATCCACACAAAATGACAAATTTCTTTCCAACCTTATCACCATTCTCAAATTGACATGATTAAACAGTTTGGTACTCAAATGTTCTCTGGTATGAACCACATTCAGGTACCTGTAACGAACAAGATTTTTAGGATGAACAAGACCTGCATGATAATAGTCCACATCTCTGATGGTAGCTTTTCCCTAAAACAAAATACTCCAGCTCAGGGTGTGTACACTAAGATCCCTATATTTAAGTTTGAGAATCATAAATCCCCAGTAGTATGTTTATTCTTAAAATAATAATCTTCCAGTTTTCAGGGTATTTTCACAAACCATACTTTAGGGTATGAACATCTAAAAGCATATAACTGTAGCTCTGAATAAATATCCTTAAATTACCATTCCTATGGTTTCACATGTCTATTCGGACATCATAAATGTCTGATTTTTGGTTCTAACCTCAAATCATAATCTTCTGATTATGAATGCTTTCTTTCAAACAATAACATTTTATACATGACTACCTATTCAATTTCTTAAGACATAGTAGCCCAATGTCTTTTAGAAAAAAGAGTAATCAAGAGCAATTGTACCTGAATCATCATCTTACGACTCCTCTGAGAGCCCTTTTTCCTACCATCATCATAACTCTCTAAGATACTGTACTCGACCCATTATTCAATCATTTTGAGTATCCATTAGGAATCACTATTTCATAATCATAAGTGCTTCCTTTTGAATCAAATCTCTTTGTTCTGAGTATTTCTTCCGAAGTTATTATTTAACAGCTCAAAGCATGCATGCTCAAATCTTACAGTTATTCGGTTCATTTATTCTAAATAACCTAATATTGAGAAGCATTTTATTAGATCATCATCTAAAAATTTCAACTATGTAACTTGGCAACATCCCATGATTTTCTGCTTTTTTAAACAGAACTCGTATCTCTACTTTTCATGCTATCGCATGAATTTCAACCTCTGAGGATTAATACTACCATGAGACAACATCAAGGGGTTTAGAAAAACATTACAAATGACTGCATAACATGCTCAGCAAAAATGGTCATTTCAATTGGCAAATTGGGAAAAAATAGGCTAATATTCTGAGTAAATGAAAGGAACGCATACATCATTCTTAGAGTTCTTGGTATAGCTTTCAAGGCCTGCAAGTAGTTTCCAGGACATTTTTTCAAACATTGGAGCTGCCAACAATGATAAGCCAACTATAAGAAGCATAAAAATGAACCTTCTTACATGCACATTTTTCATATCAATGCGGTACGTTTACATGTAAGGCAAGTCAACAGATTCTTTCAATGATCCAAAGGAATTAAAAGACAAGCAGAAAGTAAATATCTGGAAATGAAAAGAAAAAACTGGGCATGTTGGAAATTTTCTTGGATGAAAATGTTTTTACCTCAGAAATATAGACCTTTAAACCTTTCGCAGATTCCAGAGAATATACTCTGAAGCTGGTCCTATTCCCTCATTAGAACTGTGGAAAAAACGCATAATCAGGAATTTGGTTCTTAGTTGGACCATTCCTAGTTTGTCATTTTTCTAGTTGTTAGGTAGTTTCCTTGTTTTGTGGCCCTGGTAGTATATAACAGTAATCTATGATATGAATACATGTTGACTATTTGCTCTGCATATCTTCTTAGGGTTTGCACCATTGATCATGACATGGATTAGAGCCAGGTTGTAGTCACTGGCTTCCAGAGAATCTACAGTTTGCTTCCTTCCTTCTGCCACAGCCTAGGTTATAGCGAGGGTTGCTTGGTTTACAACAACATGACGATCTCATTGTTCTGGGCGCTCAGTCACAGGGGAGAAGAACTGACAACGGAATCAAAGGCATAGGACGGGTACTGACACATGAATGCCTAGTTCGTGTCTTTTATCTTCTCCTCTTTTGCATTGGATGTGACAATGAAGGTCTATGCTTTTTTATCATAGACCTTCATTGTCAATCCTTTTAGCCTTCATTGCTGATCATGTATGTTTTCCTAACAACACCAACAATCCTTTCACTGCAAGCAACTGTCAGTTTTTCTACAGATGTCAGACATTGTAGAAATGGGGGCTTTTATGGTTTCAACAAACTGGAGAATTGCTGGGCTTTCAACCTGCATATATAGAGTGAGTGGAAAAAAAAATCCTTTGGTGGTTCCAATTTGTTCACACTGTGCTAAAAAGGAAAGGGAAGATCAGCCATCTCACAAGCACAGGGAAAAAAAACAGGGAATCCTTGGTCTGAGACATGGGGGTGAAGAAGATTCCATAATTATGGCATGGTTATGAAATTATGTTCTTTATATCCTAGGAGCATGCCGAAAGAAAAAAAAGGACGGTCCCCTTTTCATTCTTTCTGTTCTGGAAAGAATGAAAGTACCTTACCCCCCATCATGGTGGACCTCTTTTTGTGATCGGGATGACTCCTGAGATTAGTGACACATGTATGTTCTTGGCTAATGCCAAGGATATTTAGGATGCAATCCAACAGACATGTCCTTAACCTAGGGATGCAGCTCAGGTCTCTGAAGTAAAGGTGAAGACAATGGCGGCAAAATAGGGTAGCAGAATAGTTACAAAATATGCAAATCAGATGACAGCTTTGAAGGAGCGTCAGACTCCTGAATGGTCAGGCCAGTCAGGAATGGGGACAGAAAGGATAGTAGTCAAGGAACAGTGTTCAAGCCATGTAACGACAGTATAGCATGATGAAACAGCACCAAAGGAGTCAGGTGGCTACAATCAAGATAAGGTTGAGAGGGTGGGATCTATAATTGGGAATCACAGCAAACCCATAGCCTCTTGATCATTGGCACATTCAGGTGAGTTTCCATCCTCTATTAGATTTAGTGTATAAAGTATAGCTTTTGTGGATTTCTTGATCATGGATTCAAGAGCTACTGATCACATGACCCAGTCATCAAATGCCTTTTCCCCATGCTCTCCTTGTCCAAGAAGTAGGAAAATAACCACAGCTGAAGGTTCTTTGACAACTGTACCAGGTGCAGGAAATGCTAAAGTCAACCCTCATCCCTAGGATGTCTAAAACCTTGTGTCTATCCAAAATTCTGCTCAAGATTTACATTGAAAGGCGATTTTTCATCATAATCATTGTGTATATTAATATAAGGACTCAAAGAGAATGATTCGACATGCTAGAGAACGGAATGGAATCTACTATCTTCAAGCACCAAGCCAGTCAAACATCACGAAGGGCTAACTACCTTGTTCTTCCAATGAGGGGAGAGTTTGGCTTCCCCATCACCGACTTGGACACCCAGTATTTAAGGTTATTAGAAGCCTGTTTCCTTCGTTATTTCAAGGTCTAAGTATTGAAGATTTTGAAAGTGGCATGTGCGAACTTGCTGGACGTAAACATGTATCTTTTCCAATATAAGAAGTTCTATCCCTTTCTATGTTATTCAAAGTGATATCTGGGGTCCCTCTACAATTCTTAATTTTTCTAGGGATAGATGGTTTGTGTCATTCGTTGATGATTGTACTCATTTTACTTATTTTTTTGAAACCTACAGGATAGTTTATGAAAGAAACTCATACCCCATGGGGAAGCAATTATTTTTATTGTCACTTGCTGCACAACATTTATGGATCCTATATCAATGGGAGATCAAAAATGTTTTCCTAAATTGTGATTTACAAAAGTGTTGGTCAACTCCGTTACTGCTTATCCAGATCCTGGATGACTTCCTACTGTCAGCCAACAGAGGAAGAAGCCTTAATGGCCAATGCTCCAGAATGAGAGGAAACGTGTCAGGGTGAACCAAAGGCGCTGCAATGGTGAACCCCCTGTTTTACTTCCCATTATTTAAGGCAGTGCAGCAGTTCCTTGCAAAAGACCTTTGCACCAGAACTGTGCCAGTTCCTTAGTGAGTCCTAGCTCAATAATCAGAAGCGTATGTGGTTGTAGAAGTAGCAGCACATCCAAGAGCATCCCTGGTTCCGCAACCACCAGCACAGAAGATCCAAAGTGGCATTAATAGATTCAGGACCGTTTCCTCATTGTTGATTCGTTTCCTATTTTGTAAGTTCCCTACTTGTTAGGTAGTTTCCTTGTTCTGCAGCCCTGGTACTTGTATATAACAGTCATCTATGTTGTGAACACGAGAAAGGTTTTTTTTCTCTCCATGTTGTCCTAGGTCTTGCGCCACTGTTCACAACAGTAGCAAACAAGATAATCTATATGACAAAGTTCGTAGAAAGGAAAGATGGTCGAGGTATTATTTGATTAGCTTTATTGATAATAGAGTGATTATAGGAGATAATGGAGAAGAAATACTAGGGCTGAAGAATATCAGAAATTTGAAAGTAAGATCTTGAAGCATTGTGATACTTGGCACTGAAGTTGCAACGCACCCAATCCACCACTACTCATATTTTTCAAAGAAAATAATTGCCAGACTCACTACTGGAATGTGAAAGTTGGGTGCGAGCCCGCAGAAACACTATTTGGAGTCACTCTTCTGAAAGATATCAATCACTCATTGGAGCCACTCAGTCAACAATCATTCTCCATCTTCACTAGAATTTTCCTTCAAGAGGGGCTGAGCCAGAAACCCTAAACTAGTTGATTGCAAACCCTTCTAGTTCATTCCTTCATTCTTCTCTTCTTTACCAAAGGTTTCATTAAAACTACGAGGAAAGCTGGGTTAAAATTACTTTTTCAGAGCTCGAAAACAAAAACAATCTAGAAAGTAGAAATGCTGTCAAAATCCAAAATTTAAGAACCAAGCAGTGTAATGTAATGAAAACTATAGCACAAAAATATAAAAGAAATTACGATTAATGATGATTTTAAGAAATAATATTTTAAGATAACTAAAGCATAATTGTTGCTGCTATTTTCTTCCAGATCTAAAATCTCAGTCTAAGCAAGATTCCATGACAATATTTATGCCTTTCCAACCAAGATATATTTCTTCTTTACGTTTAGCAGCCATATTCCATCTATTAGCTATGTCTAAGTGAAAATAGTAGGGGGAAGAAGAAAGGACGTGTAGAAGCAAACTTACAATAGCCCTCTCAGCAACTAAGTAACGAGGTAACTGCCTCAACGTAGCCTCAACGTCTCCACTTTCCTTGTAATACTCACGGGCTTCCCTGATTTCTACTCTCTGTTTATTTAAAATTAAGAAAAAGAAAATCCAACAGCCTCACTAAATCACAAAGAACTATCTACAAGTAGCTGGCTTCATATTACGGGAGGAAGAAAGCAAGGATATCTCCATCCCTCGGGTCAAGAATCAAGCCTACTGCAGCTTTCCACTCTCCACGAAGCAATGCTGCTCCAACAAGGTGTGTTGGGACGGAACCACTTCCAAAACGCTGAATTCACAAGCATCACATCAGGTATAAATTTGTGGGAACCAAAATATAAAATATGCGGAAGTAAAAATGCTCTCCGCAGCATCTATGGAGTGAAGAAGAACAATTTCCTTACCTGAAGACCAAAATAATTTATGAATCCTTTCCTCCCTAATGCATCTGCTGCTGCTTTTATAGTATCATCAGAGTCTGCAACAACACCTCTGCCAGGGTACACAAACGGGTTTGTAAAAGTCATAAATTTATCAAGGTATAAGCATCAGATTAGGGGCCTTACAAGATATTCATGTTTAGACTTGGTAGAATTACCTCAAAACGATAGTGAACCGGTTTCCTAGGAGCTTGCCAAGTACTAGACCTTCTTGCACGTGGCTGGACAAAAATTAATTTACGAGAATAAGTGGGGAAAATGAACCTGTTTTAGGATGGGTTGCCCAATACAGCTTCTTGAACGTACCAGAAGTCTCCAACTTTAATACCAATCAGTCTGTTATTAAGTGATGCTAATTTTTTTGCATATTGCTTGAAGACAGTAACCTGATGGAATAAAAAGCCTTTTAGGGAAGAAAGTACACTGCTTTAAAACTGAACTCGAAGTCTATCAAAATAATAAAAGCAACCCACAATAAGTTACAAAGACAGAACAGAATCAACAAAGAAAATCTTATGGTTGACAGATGTCACTTTTCAGTGGTGATTTGTACATGATATCATGGCCAATTCGTCAGAAAAAATGGTGGGCGATTCTTTCACAATGGACTCCTAAAAGTTATATTTCGAGTAAGTGTTTACATAATCTTCTTCTGTCCGAAGAAACGATTCATAAGTTACTTCTTCTGCACATTAATCTTAGTTTGTTTCCTCACGTCATTTTCCCTGGTTACCAAAAAGAAAAACAAGTAACATCAAATCAGAGATAATTTTAACGTATCTTAAGGTACGTGTTTAGACCCTCTGGAGATAATTTGTTCAGTTTTTTCAATTAGGAGGAAAAAAGAAGTCGTAACAAGATATTAGTTGTCAAGATTCTTGTTAATGGAATGCACCAGCTAGTATAGTATAGCTCCAGGTAAACTGAAAAAGATAAGAAAAAAGAAAACAGAGATCCTGACTACATTACAGAGATAAACGTAGAGTTTTGCGCCATTGGAAGCAGATCGAATTGTCATCAATATTGCAGCATTACCCATTCGTGAAAGAGCTATAGCATCTTCCATAGCTATGCCAATCCAGGTTCACAAAAATTTTCTAGCTCCTGGCTTGTGTGGCCTTTATGTGCAACCTAGAATCCTTCGCTGATAAAGGACTTAAAGACAGTTTCCAGCCAACTACAGAACATCAACAATAAAATTGCACCCGAGGTCATGATGCCTAAACAGACAAGTGAATAATTTTTAAGTGACGCTTCCGAAAAGGGAGCTCATTCTGCAGAGCACAACCAATAGTACGGCGTTCCACTCAAACTGCATCATCACGACTCCCTTCAGATCTCAACTGTTAATGGAATAGGCCTGTAATGCTCATTATGACTCATACTAGGGACTGCAAACTTCTGTAAAAACCTTGCATGAACCTGGCCAATCCAGCAGATTGTCAGTTATAAAGTCTCCCTAGCACTGATAACAAGTAAAAATTTGGGATCTCACTGTAAAAAGAATACGTTTCTCCTTTCAATTCTTAATGTTCAACAAAGACAACAGCGTGAAATAATCTAGAAGCATGAAACGGATTCAGATGACTCTTCTTTCATGATAACCTGATCTCCTAACAGTGACCAACAATCTTTAACGCCAAGGAGCCATCATATTCAACACTGATCCTGCAGATGCCAACATATTCCCATGCAGCATATACATCTCCCACTCGTCAAACAGTTATCTGCCTGTCAGGTCTAGAAGAATGTATTCCCAACTAGTCTCACGAGGATCCTGCTTGATACGTGTTATCCTACGTAGGCATCGGTAGTTTCTAATTTAGGCATACCTAAAAACTGACTGGGGAAGTTTGAAAGGATCCTTTCAAAGTTAAACACCATAACTGACAAATAACAAACCTAAATGGCCGTGGATGACTTGGTTATGGGATTTCAGGGCAGACCATGAGTCCAGGTTGCCAATTCATGTTGGGTTGACAAGATAATTGACATATTGGTTAAAATGAGATGGCTAAAATATGATTGTTTTTTAGCATAAAAATGCATATTCCCTTACGTGACCCACAAGTTAACAGGAAAACGCATCTGAAAAATAATCTGATTTTACATATCAATATGGAGATATGGAATTGCCATAAAATGATTATAAATACAGGCTTTTACAATCACTTGATGTCAAAGAACAAGAAACATGGCATCACACATCCAGTTAAATAAGTACTTCCGAATATTGTTCGTATCTGAATAGTATGCATGGTTTGAAATGCAACTGTTGCAATTACTTGCCCAGAGATGACAAATAATTTGCAGAAAAAAATCTCAGAAGATTATAGTAAAACTACAAAGTCGCGCACTGAGGATCCTTCCTACCAATGAAAATTCATGAAAATCGAGATAAGAACATAATTGAAATTTCATGCAAATAAGCAATCCGAAAGGTTTATCCCATGGAATTGAAGTGATAAAAATTCAATGGCAATACTTTTAAGGCATCTGAGAACAGAAAAGGATGCATATAAAATAAAAACTTACCCTCTGTGTTGTAACAGCACGCTTGTCTTTCGTACCTGCAAATCCGAATGATTTTTGCTGCCAAAAATGACATAGAGATAAGTTCACAACTAACGTCAAACTAGTTGGAAAGTGATACTACGGAAGATTCACCATCTGGCAGGCAGTGGATAAAATATTCTCAGCATTTTGTGCTTAAAGTTAATGTCCCATTAAGAAAGAAAACTGTCAAGATTTATCTCTACAATAACCCTGACTCATGAAAAAAAAATCCTCCTCAGCCTGATTTCTCGTCCGTGATACTGTTTACAGTATTTGAAAAAAGGGAACTTTCAATCTAATTAGTTAAGAACAATGCCAGGTTCACTAAATGCAATTTCAATAAAAACCTCATCTTCAGGAAACTTTGCTAGAACGAAAAAGGAATTTCCATTTACAGAATCCTTCCTTAGAATAGGTGCAAATAATCAACCAACCTGATGCAGGCATCATCAAGAACAAAATAAAAGCCATTTTACTATCTATTCAAACTATTTACTTTTTTTCAGGCTGTTTTCTCAAATTAAAGCTGCGCCATTCCAGATAATTCGAGGATTGAATTTTTTATGAAGTTATTGATTTGGTTAGTAGGATAAATATAAATAAATAATATGTTCAAGGAAATTTCTTAGAAAGAAAAAAATATTTCCTTCTCACGAAAGAACCCACTGTAGTGAACCCTATTGTAGAGACCAGAATTTTGCTGGTAAAGAACAAAGGACTATTTGATAGTGAAAAATATCGTCATGCCACTATATGGCCATATAAGCAGAGAGAAACTCCAAGGGCCATCTGGATTCTTGTTAAAGATTGAAGAGGTTCCACTGAAAAATACCACATTCTCAGAGGAAGTGAGCTGGAGTCAATAGCAGATTACTCCATCATAACTACTTTCATGGGATGGCATACCGGGTTCAGACTTCTCCTATTAAATTGCTCATGGACTCCTGGTCCCTTGACGGTTGATCTACATTTCTTCAGGACATGGACACAGGCAACAGTTGCATACGTGATGGATTTGTAAAACTTTGTCTCTACATATTGTTTGTTACTCTAAGATGCCATTGCAAGAAATTTTAATAAAAAGCTTCCAGACTAGCAAACATCGAAGGATCTCAATGATGTGGACATGCTCCACGGAGGTTTCCATCAGAAAAATCTCTCCCCACGAAAGCAGGTAGCATTCAAGGATACGTCCGAAGATTTCAACCAGGAAACGCTTAACCAATAGGTCATGGATGCAATCTATAAATTAATTTTTTTGAAGGCTTTTACTTCATTTCATAACAGATGAACAAAGCACATAATGGCCATATATAGAAGAACTCATTAATGTCTCTCATACCTGAATGCCCAACATCTTCCCTATCACTCCCAGAGCTTCCTGGGTGTCCTTGTTCTCTTTATAAAGATGAAAACTGGATATGCAGATAAAAACTTCAGGGAAAAACCATGAATAATCTCTTCATAAAGAAGCTTGGTACCACGGTTGCTAATTGCAAATGTTTGAAAAATACTCAACATAGCATATTCTCTCTTTCTCTGTGAGATCATAGACATTAGAAAATTTTAAATATCCCATCTGTAAATACCTTAGGTTAAGCTCAAGATTTAATAACGAATTTTATCAACTGTAGGTTACAAAAATTATTTATTTATACACGTTATAAAAGCTAAAATACTACTAACTCTTGATACGTACAAGTATTTCTCACTGTCTTACCGAAGAAACTTTCCCAGATGCTCTGGCCAACCTTTTGATCCCCTGCTGTCGAAGCGTTTATCCTCTTTTGAACACTTATCGTCCATGGCTTTCCTTTTCTTACCACTTCTTCCCATGTCTCCTCTTCCTCCACCAGAGAACCTAACCCGCACACATTTCGCGTCCCCCGGAGTCACTTCAACGACATCAGTGATCAGGGACCTCATGTTCTTCTTGAAGAAGTTATGTACTTCCTGCGCGAAAGATTGGGGCCCCGTCTAAATGTCATCGTTCAGCGGAAAAAGTGAGTACTGCAACGTAATAGAGGATGAACACAGAACCGACCGTTCGATGAACCTTGTCCGCGTCTGGAGAAAGAACAATGAAAGCATCGTCATGGGCTTCGCCAGAGCTAATGCGCGCTAGAAGTCCCCTGAGCAATTCAGCATCCTCCTCTCCTGTAATTGACCGGAACATCTGAATCTTGTCGCCGTAATCCGAATCATCGGGATGCTGTTCCTCCTCCTCCACCGCTTCTACACCCTGTCAGAAGACCCGAACACCAAAATATTGGAAAAAAAAAAAAACTGACGACAAGAGCAAAAGACGGAAATTCAAACTGAAACCCGATCCCTACCTCTTCCGGAACATCGAAAGAGGTGAGGCGAATAACGTTCCCATCGCAGTCCACTTCGTTCACGATGAAATCCGCGTACCTAGTTATCCACAAAAGAAAGCAATAAAACCAATGCAGCTGAAGCGAGGTGTATTGAGTCGAATGTAAGGTGAGAGAAGAGTAATGGGGAGGGAGTTGGCAACGCAGCTGAAGCAAGAACCAAGAGGACGACTGACCTGTGCTTCAGGATGCCGCGGAAGCCGGGGAGAGGCGAGACGTAGCAGGAGATGCCGACTTCGGACTCCTCCAGAGGCTTCGCCATGAGTCCTGAGGAGGACGTGAGGGAGCAGCAGGGATTGGAGTGCGGCTGGAGAAGGAAGCTAGGGTTTGACACGGGGGAGGAGGGAGGGCAGGGACAGCGCCGCCGTGGGCGGGAAGCCGGAGGCCGTGGGGGCAACCGCAGAAGCAGCGTTCCTCGCATGTGTGGCGCGCACGTGCGGAAGCCCCCCCTCACGTTCTTTCTCCCTTCCCCCGGTGAGGGATGTTGACCTTAACTCAGCCTCCGTCGAAGTCTAGATTTAGACCGTTGACTCCGTCTGGTCGCCAAAGTTGTTATTTGGGCCGGACATGGACTTTCTCAAGGCCTGGTATTCAAGAGACTTCCTCTCTCTCTCTCTCTCTCTCTCTCTCTCTCTCTCTCTCTCTCTCTCTCTCTCTCTCTCTCTCTCTCTCTCTCTCTCTCTCTCTCTCTCTCTCTCCCTCTCTCTCTCTCTTCTCTCTCTCTCTCTCCCTCTCTCTCCCTCTTTCTCTTGCTCTCCATCTTTCTCTTTCTCTCTCTCTCTCTCTCTCTCCCTCTCTACCTCTTTCTCTCCCTCTCTACCTCTTTCTCTTGCTCTCTCCATCTTTCTCTTCCTCTCTCTCTCTCTCTCTCTCTCTCTCTCTCTCTCTCTCTCTCTCTCTCTCTCCCTCTCCTCTCTCTCCTCTCTCTCTTCCTCTCTATCTCTCTCTCCTCTCTCTATCTCTCTCTCCCTCTCTCCTCTCTCCCTCTCTCCCTCTCTCCTCTCTCCCTCTCCTCCCTCTCTCTCTCTCCTCTCTCTCTCTCTTCCTCCCTCTCTCTCTCTCTCTCTCTCTCCTCTCTCTCTCTCTCCTCTCTCTCTCTCGTCTCTCTCCTCTCTCTCTCTCTCCTCTCTCTCTCTTCGTCTCTCTCTCCTCTCTCTCTCTCCCTCTCCTTCTCTCCCTCTCTCTATCTCTTTTCTCTCTGTCTTCCTCCTCTCTCTCCCTCTCTCTCTCTCCCTCTCTCTCTCTCTCCCTCTCTCTCTCCTCTCTCTCTCCCTCTCTCTCTCTCTCTCTACCTCTTTCTCTCTCTCTCCTCTCTCCCTCTCTCTCTCTCTCTCTCTATCTCTCTCTCTCTCCCTCCTCCTTCTCTCCCTCTCTCTATCTCTTTCTCTCTCTATCTTCCTCTCTCTCTCCCTCTCTCTCTCTCTCCTTCTCTCCTCTCTCTCTCTCTCTCCTTCTCTCTCTCCCTCTCTCTCTCTCTCTCTCCCTCTCTCCCTCTTTCTCTTGCTCATTCCATCCTTCTCTTCCTCTCACACTCTCTCTCTCTCCCTCTCTCCCTCTTTCTCTTGCTCTCTCCATCCTTCTCTTCCTTCTGTCTCTCTCCCTCTCTCCCTTTTTCTCGTGCTCTCTCCATCTTTTTCTTCCTCTCTCTCTCTCTCTCCCTCTCTCCCTTTTTCTCGTGCTCTCTCCATCTTTTTCTTCCTCTCTCTCTCTCTCTCCCTCTCTCCCTCTCTCCATCTTTCTCTTCCTCTCTCTCTCTTCCTCTTTCTCTCTCTCCCTCTCTCTTTCTCTCTCTCTTATTATGAGGGTGATAAAAGACTTGTTATGGACAGAGGTGTGGTAGACCTGCACTCATCACGAGTCAAAATCACTTGTGCAACAAAGAGGAAATTGGGAAGAGAGAATAGGAGAAAGAAAATCATAATACTACTCCTTCAAGATGGGCAGTAAATATTTTTAATGCCCATTTTAGACAAGAAAATCGATATGCAAGAGGATGGAAAGGCTTAGTAAAGGTGTCTACTAACTAGTGAGCACAATGAACAAGAAGAAGCTTGATGATTACATCGACCAACTTTACACAAATAAATTGACAATCAATCTCAATGTAATTTGCATGTCTATGAAATGTGGGACTAAAGGTAATATGGTGAGCAACTTGACCATGACAAAATAAGATACTATGAGATAATATTAATGTGAAAATTAGAAAATAATTGTTGGATCTAAACCAATGCATAATACTCAGATTTACTAGATGAATGAGATATGATTGATTTCTTTTTTGCCTTTCCATGAAATTAGATAATCAGCAACAAAAATGTAAAATCTAGTAAGTAATTCACAAAAGCTAGGACAAGTCACACAATTAACATCTGAAAAAACTCAAATTCGTAAAGGATTTGAACTGAACAAAGGATTCCTTACCAAAATATAGCTTTCAAATATTGAAGAAGATGATAAGCAACATGTAGTTGAGTGATGCAAGTTTGAGCCATAAATTTGCTTAGCTTGTGAATTGTAAAAGGGGATGTCAATATAAAAGAGTTAAATATGAAAGACGACCAATGAGTCAATGATATTGAGAAGCATCCTCAAAGAATTATCTAATTGTGAAATTGAGATGAAGTATGGGATCCATAAGAACCACTATAGGTCGTGAGCTAAGAAAATCAATGTCTTCCAAAAGTTGTAAAGTATAATAGTGTTTAGATAGGTATAATTTCAACTCTAGAGTAAGCAATTTTTAACCCTAAAAAAAATTTTAAAGACCCAAAGTTCATGAACTTTAAATGTGTGTAAGAAAATTTTCAAATCAATAATAAGTGCAAGACAAGGGCTTGTGATAATAATGTCATCAACATAAATAAGGAGATATGAAAAAAAGGCCATGTCCTTTGGTGAATGAGTAACTAGATTTTGACTAAATGAATTCATATTGAAGAAGTGATGATGATAACTTAGAATACCATTCTCTAGGGGTTTAATAAAGTCCATAAATCGATTTTTGAGGTTTGAAAATAAGCATTCCTAATTAAGAGTCATTATGAACTTGATGTAACAAACCCAAAGGGAGATCCATATAGACTAGATCTCCATAAATATATACATTATTGTTGTCTCATTATGCTAATAGGAGCTTGATTGTGACAAACTTGACAATGGGGGAATACATTTGAAGAAAATTGATGCCTTCTTGGTGGATATAGCCCTTGGCAAATAAACGGCTTTTGTAGCATCAAACTTATATTTGATTTTGTAAATCTATTGGCAGCCAATTGAATGTTTGCCTACAAGTAATTAAACTAAAGACTATGCATTGTTATCTTACAAGTAATTCAATATGCATAACTTCTTGTCATTGTGGGAATTTGACAACTTCATGATAATAGTTGGGTTCTTTATGGATAGAAACTTAGAGACCAAACTGTTTATAACTTGTTGAAAGAAAAAGATATGATAGATATTGAGATAGAGGATCAGGATCCCATTCCATATGAGGTATTAATGGAGATGTGTCATTACAATGAAAATTATGAAAGTAAGAGGGGGCTTTGGTAACGTAATTAAATTTTCATGATAGTAGGTAAGGACAATTGTGATGAGATTGTTGTTGTCAAAGTAAGGGAAAATTACAAGATCTTCATGATTAGAATCAAAACTTGGATGATGCATTAAAAATTCCAGAAAAATATCAAAAAGTGTATTTGGAGTAACAAGTGAAGCAAATGAAAAAGTATCCTCACAAAAGACATCATCATGGAAAATAAAAAATTCCTTCATGTCAAGGTCATAAAGTTTGTAACCTTCGTAGCCAGGTGAATAACTAATGAAGACATTTTCTTGCTCAATGATAAAATTTAAGCTGATGAGTTAATAATGTCGATGTAAAACCTATGTAGCCAAATACTAGAAATGTAGAATAATCTAGAGATGTTTGATGTACTAGTGTATATGGACTTTTGTTGTGGAAGACAAAAGTTGGAAGTTTACTGATAATGAATGTGATAATGAGAATACAATCTAACTAAAACTTTATTAGAACACTATATTTAAATAATAAAGCTCGAGCCACATGTAAGAGGTGTTAATGTTTCTCTTCAACCATAAAGTAGTATTAGGGTCATTCTACACATGAAAATTGATACAATAATTATATTTCTTGAAGAATTTAATAAATTTAAGTTCATTGACATTGTCCAATCTAAATTTTTTGACATTATGTCTATATTGAGTGTAGACTGAAGAGAAAAAGAATGATAGAACTAGCTTTAGATTTATGTTTCATAAGAAAACCCCAAACAAAGCAATTGTAAGCATCCACAAGTGTAAGGAAATATCCGTGACCATAATGACTTGTAGTATGAAATGGCCCTCATATTTCACAATGTACCAACATAAATAGATGTTCAAAAATGTTATTTTGACATAAAAAAGATAAATGTTTTGTTTTGTCAATAGACAAATATAATAAGGTGTTTGTTTATGATGATCAATGAAGTGTAACTGATTTTTCATCATATCAAAAAACTTTGATGAGAGATGTCTCCATCGATTATGCCAAATGTGAAGAGATGCGTTGTTTGTAGAAGTTTGAAAGGGTGCCATAGCTTTTAAGAATGAGGGGATCTGCAAACATCAAAAATAAAAGATCATTGATCCTTTTAAATTTGCCAATCATTGTCTTGCAAGAGAGGTCTTGGATCATAAAAGAGACAGAAGAATTGGAGTCATATATGATGTGATGTTGTCAATGCACTCACTGATAATAAAATGAATCTGAATTGAGGAATGAGTTAAGGCATCCTTGAGTAGAATGTTGAATTATAGTGAACATCACCAAAGAGATTGATTAGGATGTGTGTATATTTGGTAAAGTAATTCCTAGGTTAGAAATAGGATAGTCAAATAAATGTGTGTGCTTCTGAATATATATCTCATTGTGGGATCGAATGAGATCCAAAGATATATCCATATTGTATGTGATGATGAAGATGATTATGATTTTCCAAATGTCATTGCAGTGGAACGTAGGTATGCAGATAATAGAGTCATAAGCTGAATTCAAGTTAAATTCAAGTTCTAGAGAAGATTTCTAATATCATCAATGTCTCACTGGTTGATGTGATTAGATGTAGAAGAGATTTGATTTATAATTGTCTCACAATACTTTGACATAGGCTTATAACCTAGTGGGTAGTCATAAATTGTTTTAGCATTTATTCATAGTGTGTTCCTTGTAGTGACAATGAGTATAGAAGAGTTATTTTTTATGTCCATACTTTGTAATTGTTAGAACTCTTGGATCCCATTAGCTTGGCATTAAACACCATAATCAAAGAAGGTTTGGGTCTAAGAAGAACATTAACTTGTCATTGACGTTTTTCTTGGGAAATGAGAGAAAAAACTTCACTAATATGTGAGAGTGGATCAAGAAGCAATATTTGTGCTAGAATTAGGGGAAATGATTCATTTAATCCCATCAGAAGGAACATAACATATTCTTGTTCATTCACTCCACATGAACATGTTGAGGGAGAATTATTTACCTCTTCTCAAAAAAAATCAGTTTTATAAAATATACTACAACGGAATCTTGATCTTAACATAAGTTCATCAAGTCAGGACATAGTTGGAAATTTCTAGGCTCATTGCTTTGTTGATATCTATCTGAATATCTTTCCAAATGTCATGGGCTGAATTAGAATAAATGATGCTTGTTTATATTTCTCAAGACACATAATTTAATATCCATAAAATTACCATATTATTATTTCTATTCCAAGTGGATAATAAAGCTGGATTTGCACATGTAGGTCTTGAAAGAGATCTATTAATAAATTCTATTTTATTATTTACTGAAAGGGTGATAATCATAGCCCTATTCTATGAAGCATAATTGTCACCAATAAGTTGTTGGGATATGAGAATCAATCTTGGACTATCTGAATGGTGTAAGAAGTACATATTTGATTGATCATTTGAAAAGGATTTATTCAAAAGAGCCTTGGATGAATTTGTTGATTGAATTGTCATAGTGACTCTATAAGGGATAGGGGTTAGATAGACACAATTTCTATATAAGATGTATAGTATCAAGATGTCTGTAGCATTAGTATATAGAAATAAGCACAATCTTGCATAATGAAGTATACATCTCAAGGGAAAGTTCATGATGTAATTAATCATATAAGAAGATGAAAAAGAAGGATAACCATTCATCAATTTCGCATGAATATAAGGGGCCTTCATATCAAACAAAAAAAAAAAAATGGAGGATCACACCTGCTTTGATACCATGCTATGATGGTGACAAAGGACCTACTGTGGACTGAGGCACGGAAGACCTGCACTCATCACAAGAGTCAGAATCACCTGTGCACTTGAGAGGGAAATGGCCAGAGAGAATAGGAGAAAGAAAATCCTTGAATGGATTTTATATGGACATTATTTATACAAGTGCTTACACATGTGAGTACACACGTGGACCTAATCTCTCTCTCTCTCTTTCTCCCTCTCTCTCTCTGTCCCTCTCTCTCTCTCTTTCTCCCTCTCTCTCTCTCTCTGTCCCTCTCTCTCTCTCTTTCTCCCTCTCTCTCTCTCTCTCCCTCTCTCTCTCTCTCTCTCCCTCTCTCTTTTTTCCTTTCTCCCTCTCTCTCTCTCTCTCTCTCTCTCTCTCTCTCTCTCTCTCTCTCTCTCTCGCTCTCCCTCTCCCTCTCCCTCTCTCTATTTTTTCCTCTCTTTCTCCCTCTCTCTCTCTCTCTCTCTCTCTCTCTCTCTCTCTCTCTCTCTCTCTCTCTCTCTCTCTCTCTCTCTCTCTCTCTCTCTCTCTCTCTCTCTCTCTCTCTCTCTCTCTCTCTCTCCCTCTCTCAGAGTAAGACTTTCCAAAATCCCAATCTCTCCATAGCCTCTTAACCCAAGAAACATGAGCATACTTCTGGGGAGGAGATACAGTCTCTCAAAGCTGCAATTTTAAGAGGCTGCGCCCCCTCTCACTACAAGCTATTTTGAATTTAGAAAAACTCAATAGAAATGCATTTGCCTGCACTATCGAGTTATAAAAATCATAATATGAACGGTAAAAATGAGCAGCGTAGTCTTAGGAATACTCGCCTGGACTGCCACAAAGACAGATCCGGGGGGGCATCTAGCAGAAATACCGTCATTAATATAGGAAAAAAATCTACGTTTGGTCACAGATTTCAGCCCTAACTATAATCTACGATTGGAAAAATAAAAAAAAGGAATACTGGCTCTGCCTGCCGTCTTCTAATGGCGTAGGATATCACCTGCTAATTACCATATAAATATGGTAAATTTGTGACTAACAATTCTGCTAGCGTATTTTTATTACTCTCCTCTTTTTCCAGCTTGTGTGGTTAGTTAGATCTCTACACTTGAATGGAAGGGGATTGAACAAGGCCGTCCCAGAACAATGAATCTGTCGCCCCTCAATCTATCGTGCCAGCCGTCGTCAATCCAAGTCGTTGGTTACAAGATGGGCCGATGGTGCCCCCAGTCCATGGGAGGTCTGAAAGAGCTTGGTTTTTGTTATAAAGTTTTATAAAGTAGATTAAAATTACTTATATGTGTATATAAATTCAGATATATATATATATATCATTTTCCACTAGATGAGAAGAACCAACACTTTCTGATCATTCATTCTCTCAGTAGTAATAAGTAGTAGTGTGACCATCATGGTTTACAGTTTCCACGTGGTTATAGGACAATCATAAGGAACACGGCAATAGAACAGTGAGGGAAGTGGTTGGATGCAGTGGATAGGGTGAACTCAGACATGGTGGTCGCTAGGCGTGGTGGCGCCACCTGCGGCGACACCTGGCTTGTGGGAGTGGAGGAGGAAACTGCAGGCCCCAACGGCTTCACCCACAGTGAGGAAGATCCATTCCTGGCCTATGGCTTCAACAACCTTGGACTTGTCGAGCTTCTTCATCACTTCACTCCCCGGGTTGGCCAGCACCAGCTGAACAAGTCAAGAAGAAGAAGACGACCCTAAATGAGAACGTGAATACTGCCAGAATCCATTTCCGAGGATCTTTCTCTTCTCTATGAAATGGGAAGGGGGGTGGTAGATGCCCACCTGAAGCCCTCTCTTCTCTATGTTCTTCTTCAGCTCGTCGAGCATGCTGATCCCACTGGTGTCAATGCTACCAACAGCTGGCCAACATAACGACAGACGTTCACATTCTCTTGACATCATTAAATCTCCTCGTTTCAATGTGACACCACTCTAATACGACTTGCTTATTCCACGTATTCAGGAGTTTTAATGAGGACCAGTCGCAACTAGTCCTCTCAGGTTGGAGTTGACGAACAGATGGGTGGACTCACCGTGTCTTTTATGATCCATTTCGCGCAACTTAATCAGATAATATGCTCTATGTATATGGTGGGTGAAGATTGACATAAGATAGAACGCCACGACTTACCGCCCAGGTCCAAGATCACATATTGAAGGCTCCCCTCGTCCTTGGGCCTCAATCGATCTTCCTCCTCGTCAATCCATCTCGAGATCCTGAGAACGGGGGAAGGGAGGAAATAACGAAGACACGGTGAAATTGCCATTGCTGCACACGGCGGTCAAATCCTTCGCCCACGCAGGGTATGCACCCGGGGAGTTGACATCTACTGAGGTTTAGGATACCTCTCTCTCAGGTAGCAGGAGTTAGCGAAGTAGATGGGGGCGTCGACATGAAGAATGAGCACGCCGGGAACAGCCTGAGCTTCAGAGAACTGGTCCATCCTCCGGTAGATCATCGAGTTGGGGATGTTCCCTAGAACGGTTGTCCTCGGTCTCGCCACGAAGAGGAGAACCCTAAGCATGGAAACGCCCACCTGTGGAAATCAAACCCCATGAAAACTCTTTAAGCTCTTCCCCGGATATTTTTGTCTCGAGAGAATCACCGGAAGAAGAGAGAGAAAGGGCTGACCGCGATCACGAGGCCGATCTCGACGCTGCCGAAGACGACGCCGAGGTAGGCCCCCATGCAGACGGAGAAGTCAACCTTGTCGACCTTCCAGAGGTGGAAGGCGGCCTCGTAGTCGATGAGGCCCAGCATGGCGGCGATGATAATGGAGGAGAGGACCACCAGCGGGGTGTAGTGGAACAGTGGCGTAAGGAACAGCAGAGTTATCATCACCGCCATCGCCATCACTATGTTCGACACAGCCGTCTTACAGCCGGCGTTGTAGTTCACCGCCGACCTCGAGAACGGCCCTGTGGAGGAGCAGATGGCCGGTTGGTGAGTTCCTTCTTTCTCCCTCGAAGGTAATATTATAACCGAGTGTGGAGATATATCATCCTGTTAGGGTTTTAGAATCTCCTTCGCTTACCGGTGGTGAGATAGCACGAGGTGACTGACCCGGCTATGTTCATCATCCCGAAGGCGATCATCTCCTTGTTACCGTCGATGTGGTAGCTCTTAAACATCGCGAAACTCCTGCCCACCGCTATGCCCTCCTGGCGTCACCATTGTAGGATAAACGCGACGAGGTGAGCCCTCTCTCCTGAAGAAGAGTGTCTTCATCTCTCTCTCTCTCTCTCTGATCTCTCTCTGAATGACTATAGAGACTTACTGCAAGGGCGACGATGCCGGTAACGATACCAGTCTTCAGAGCGAGCATCATGTGGGGTGACGTGAGGGTGAGATCGCCGAAGGACGGGGGGTTCAGCCCTTTCTTCAGCTCTCCAATCTGCGGATTTCAATGATTAACGATCAGCACAGAGAGCCCATCAAAGAGTCCTTGATGCACGTATCCTAACCCCACATTGCCAATCACATGGTGATCGTGCGTGAAAGATAAAGAGGAACTCACCACTTGAACCCCATGGTGCTCTGCTCGGGTCAGGAACACCAAAAGGCTTCCCAGTATGACGGAGGTCAACGGAGCCGCCGCTGAAATCCAGAAGAACCTTGGGTTCTTCTTGCTCTGTCGACATTGAACAAAACTTGCACTAATTATTACGAAATCCTGGTTAAAACATCAGCAACAGTTACACCCCAAGGGAGTAATCACAACTTCAGCTCCCCCAAGAAAGGGGTTGACTGATCGAGAACCCAACTAGTGGGCCCTAGGTCTATAATTGTGGGCCCTATTTGCGCATGGCTGAGGAAACCCCACAAGCCCATCGTAAGGCATGTGATGGCGTCAGATGAGTCTTGCCCTAACAAAAAAAGGGTGGCTTGTGCCTTGCAAGCCCCCCCCCCCCCCCCCCCCCGCCCCTCGGCCATGGGAGGGATTATTAGGTTAGCCTAACACTCCTTTTGCTGAATCTTCTTTCTTTACCCAAAGAAGCTAAAAGCTCCTTTCAATGAATATCTAAATGTAGTGGAAAAAGTGGTGGAACTACATGGTTGGGTGCGTAGAGTAGATCAATTACAGTACCGAAGACCCACGATACAGACCATTTGGTGAGGGTGTGTGAGATACCAGGCACTCAGATGGACAGAAGGTTCCCATTTTCTAGGATTTCGAAAGAAAATAGACAGCTTTGGTTATTTCACACTTAGCTCTAAGTGACAAGGATACTCATCAATTATATTCTTTTCTTGACAGATTATTGACAAATTAAGTCCCAGTTATCATACAGTGTTCATCCTTTAGACACGCAAACTATGACAGAACTTCCCTTGCATCTTTGAACCACGTTCAACTATGACGTTTCCACACAAACTTTAGCAAATCTACCAATTATTTGCGTAGATAATTGAAAAAATAAGCACATCTTTTCATAAATTATTAAAATGTATATGTCAAAACTTTGGTGCAGTCTGTTATGATACTTACCAAGAAACGGGTGAGGAGAAGGTAGAACAGGAAGGCGACTCCAAGAACCACGCTTTCCCATCTCCACTGCAGAGACCGTGCCCAGCGTTATCAAGAAGAACAAAGAAACTGTAATTCCTTTTCTATCACGTGGACAGTATTACGGCGTAGTTCGAAAAACGTTAAACAGCGCGCGCCAGAGAGAGAGAGACTAGTGGAAATTTGTCACGGGAACTTTATTATCTGGATAGAAGAAAGCATCGTTTCTCTTTGCTGTCCGTTTCCCTATATCGTGTAGCGATCTGATCATTCACAAAACAACGAGGGTACATTGGCACATTGATACATCTCAATCCAGCAAGCCAAGAAAACAGAGGGGACTATAGAAGGTGACGACGTACAAGCAGGATGAAATAATTTGACCAATCAAAAGAGAGAAACCGAAGATTTTAGTTGCCTAATTGATCTGGGACTATTGTAATGCTGGTTTGTTCCTTCATGAACGAGCGGGGACTACCTGGTTAGTCTGAGAGAAGATGGACTCCATGACAGAGACGAGGTCCGTGGCGGTTGTGAAGTGATGGAGGCCGAGGATACCCTTCAGCTGCTGAAGGCACACCACGGTGGCTGCTCCTCCCATGAAACCCACGATGGTCGCGTGCGAGAGGAAGTCCACAATAAACCCCAGCCTGCCCCAAGGAGATGAGACGACCAGACAGAGGTTTTCAGTGAAAGAAATAAGCAATATCTTGCTTTCGAAAACCAGTAAAAGAAACAAATATAATGGTTTTTCACTGGTTGGACGCGTCAAATGAGCGGAAGAAGACACGGGTACTTTCCAGAATTCTCGAGACACAGAGAGCGAAAGGCCAATTCACTTTCAATAGTATTCTTCACCAAAGCACCTGAGTGGGCTCTATAAAGGAACGAGAGGGACAGTTTTTATAAAGTTAAAAGGTGAACGGAAGAGACCCTCCGTGTCATTCTCATGAGGTTTCTCTGAACATGGCTTTAACCATTGCCATCGTAAAAGGGAGGGGGTTAGGGGGAGTGAGGTTACCTGAGGAAACCAAGAGCCGCCTGGAAAATGCCGGCGAAGAAGGTTGCCGTGAAGGCCAGGTGGAGGTAGAGAGTGGGGTTTTGAGACGGGGAGACCTCCTTCCCCAGCATCGACGCGATAAGGAGAGACGCCACAGCCACGGTGCCCACCGCTAGGTCCCTCGAGCTCCCCATCATGGCATACACCAGCGGCGGTACAAAGCTCGAGTCTTTAACAAGGTCAAGAAAACGGAAAATCCTTATGGGTCAGCTGGAATGGTGGAAGAAAAAGAAGAAGAAGAACAACAACAACAACAACATGAAAATGATGCTGAAGTAAGGGTCACTTACAGAGGCCGAGGATTGGGGGGAGATTGGCGAGCTTGGCATAGCTGATGCCCTGAGGGATGGCCAAGCTGGCGATGGTAATGCCAGAGACGAGGTCGGCCTGGAAGAAGGCGAAGGTGTAGCGAGGAGCCCACTCGAGGATGGGTAGAAAGTACTGCAGCGCTAGTACGACGCGGCGGGACGTCGTCTGCCCCTTGAACTGACGCAGAGGATCGTCCGGGAAGAAGGTCTCCTTGAGGTTGGCCTTCAGGGTCTCCCAAAACGGCCTTGTAGGAGGAACTGGCACCCTGTGGGCACACTCAAGTCCCCCCACCTCCGTTCCCGGAAACACTAACCCGTCTGCGTTCCCCATCAACTGAGAGAGATGGAGAGAGAGGAACTCCTTTCAATCACAACACCCCAGCCTGCACTATACTGATCTAGTGGCGAGAAGTAAGAGAGGGAAGGAGGAGAGAGAGAGAGAGTGGGTGCAAGGTTGCTGTGGTCAGTGTTTATTCTGGAAGCTGTAGGTGAGTTATATAGGGGGAGGCAGTGTCTGCTATGATCGCGGAACAGCTTATGGATGGTGTTAACGTTGATCGTCCCTCCCAGCCACTATGAACACCACTTCCGTGTCGTTGACCGAACTGTTGGACCACCCTGACGACCAGCAGGGTGCCGACCCACAGTTTAGGAGAGTTGGTGGAGCGGATACCGCCACTTGGAACCGGATGTTGGGTCGGGGTTGGCGGACAGGAAGGGTTGTCTTTTCGCTCGTTATGTCTGACACCTCGGTGATGTGTGTCGTGTCGAAGTCTCCTTCCTCACAAAAGAGAGATGGAGTGAGGGAGAGCTAGAGATATAGAGAGAGAGAATGCGTCTCTGAATTAAAGAGAGTCTGGGCGAGGGAGGGATAATGTCTCCAACTGAGACCATGTGTTCCAGAAGGAGAGGAATTCGTATCGAGAGAGAGAGAGAGAGAGCCCAAGAAGATTAAAAATTTGCGGTTATCAACTTGATCGGACAGTGGATTGTTTCAATATGATCTGTAGTTTGCTAAGCATCGCAGAGTCCGCATCATATTCCTGAAATCTTCAAATTATTTAATGATATCCTTGGAACTCTGTTTGTGCATGTGTGCGTGCGGGAGAGCGAGAGAGAGAGCGAAGATGTTTCTCTCAAAGATAAATATAGATAGATAGAGATATATATATATAGATAGATAGAGACTACTAAAACATTAGAAATTGGTCAACGTGTCTAACTACGTTGGTAAGATTTTTAGCTTAGTCAAACTTGACAACTTGACCCATCTTTAAAGCTTCGAAACTTTCAATGTCATTCATATGATTCTTTGAACTGTCAAAAAGGTGATTCCGATTTTCACGTTGAGTTTCTGGTTGCAAGGAAATCATACGTTAGTGGTATTGTTAGTCGGGATACTTTCTCCTCTAATCCCCCATGCCTACATCACCTTAGAAAGAAATATTTCCTAATTACATGTGCAGGACGGTTATAGCATGAATCCAAAACTTTCTGCCAAGAAGAACGGGAAAAGACCGTTCAAACCCTATCCTCTTCATCTAGAAACTTACCCTGGAAAGAGAGACAAGGCATGTAGAAAAAGCAAGTTCGTACAAAATAGCAGTACGTTTGTGGAAAATAGAGAGAAGATAGGATAAATATCAAGTTCCTTCAACATGCACAAAACCAAAGATCACACAACTAAAAGAACAAATTATTCAGGAAGATATGAACAAGTATATGGGTCTCAGCAACCTGTTTTCAACTTACGGTTATAGCGTTGGTATGTTGAAATTCCAGTTATACATTGGAGATGTTCATCAATTTTCATCATATATTGAGTAATGACAAGTGGCATCGGATCATGGGCTGTTAGCCCAGTTTTCAAGCTGAAAGATCTTATAATACTTATAGTGCTAATCATATTTGTTGTATGTGCATATAAAATTATCACAATCCATTTAACATCACATATATCAATAATGTTAGTTGTAAAGTCACTTTTTCGACCATGTCATGCTTAGTTCATCAATTTTCCTCTCTCAATGAAAGATTCAATTCAAATGAACTGTTTGTAAACTCACATTCAACATCATTCATCATCTTTGGTTTAATTGATGATATATTTTGTGTGGATATTATATTTAGTACATGAGAATAATTTTTTTATTTATCACTTTTTATGATAGTTTGGCTACTTTAAAATTATATGAAAATATGATTATTTTTTACGAATATAAAATCGCCCATACAATGGAGAGACACTTTGTCAAAATATAAAAGATAAATTTGGAATTAATTTTCAATATAATTGATTATACACAGCCCTTTCCAACAAACTCACATACGGAAGTTGTAGGATAAGGAATCACTCATTTTGATTTTCCCTGTTATTTTAACAAAAAAACGTTAATATATTTAGATTCATTCATAGTCAAGGCCATGAATATAATATATTTAGATGGGATTTCTATTGTGAAACAAGAAGAAAAGACAATGTCAAAGAGAAATTGGTATAATCTCGTTATTCATATGTTTATCAATATGATGTGACCATCACGAAATTACTTTTGTCTAGTTCCATGGTATAAGATAACCTCCAATTCCAAAAAAAAAATATTATTACATTTTGAATCACTCATCTGAAATGTTTGTCTTTTGAATGATTGGATGTGATATAATATCTTTTTTAACGTAAGCTAGTAGATCAATGGCATATAATGATGTTGGTTGACGTGATCTCACTACTATCCACCAATAATGGGAAAGGTTTATTATGAGAGACATTCATTAATAATCAAGCTCTGAAATATAAAAAATACTCTCTCTGGTGCTAAATTGAATTAGATTAGATTTCCACATTGGGCAGCACCTCAATTCACTCTGTCTCATGGCTGCTAGTTATTTAAGGCTAGATAACTTCATAGATATTATTCTTCATACACTTTTATCTTTATAAAAGTTTATTATTCATCCAATGGATCCTGGACAAGATTTGAGGGGACATTTGGACTTTGAAGATTGTTCACTTCATAGAAGTTTGATTCTTCCCAATCTTGACTTTCATTGCACAATAAAATTTATGAAAAAGGGAGAGAGAAAGCTCTCTCTCCATTTGTATTCTCCCCATCTTTCTACATAGTGGGAAGGAAACTTTTTCTTGAGATCATCTAGGGAATCAAATGTTTATGGGATCAACTATTGAAACCGCTTTAGGATTGTGGTGGACATCCAGATACCACTTTTTAGAAAGGTGCATGACCAACTATATTTACATGATGAGCCTGAATTCTTCAACGTAATCAATCACACATTGAGTTATCATGTACGATGAATCTACCTCTAAGAAAAATAGTGTTAATTTATCATAATATTCTCCCAGATATATGACATGTTCTATAGTAAACAATGATTAGGACTTTGATGATCCGTATTGATTTCAAATGGCAGAAAATATTAGTGATCAATATTATATACATAAAATTCGAGTGTTACTGACTCAAAAAAATTCTTAATGGATATTGTAGGTTTCAATACTTTCATGGTACTTGTAATCTAAAACTCATCTTAAAGGGCCACATACAGATTGACTCCAGTCATTGGTAAAGAAAGAAGTTAATAAGACTCAGTGATCAGTTGTAGTTACTCTTATTAGTTTGTTATTCAAGAATCACCTCAGACTTGTAGCCAAAACCTTTAGCTATATTCAAAGGTTTTTTTAAATATACTCTTAATTCTAATTTTAAATTTTTAAAATTCACGTAAAGATGATATTTTACATTGATTTTCATAAATTCGATACGCCATTAATCAACACAACCATATATAATCATAGTTAAGATATTAATCTTTCATACCTTCGGCCCAAAAATAAGCAATCATTTCTTCTATAGCAAGTACAAGAAAACGACCAAAACTCTGCACGTTAACTGGAGAGGACTCACATGGACTGTTGGACAACAAAGACGCTTCCTCCCTTTAGAGACGCTTATCCTCTCCGATGCCACTTCTTACTACGGGCCATTCATATCCTCCCAAGTCTTGTCTACTGAGTCTACGTGCAGTGCATGCCCGTGAAGAGAGAGAGGAAGAGCCGCCGAGGGCCACTCGTCTTCTTGTGCAGGTTAGTAGCGGTCCACGTGAGAGTTCCCCAACCCTCTGACCGCTGAACGCCGTCTGGTCTGATTGATACATACAGACGCAGGTAGGCTTCACGGGTTCTCCGAGTCGCGGAGGCTGCGGGCCAAGGCAAACCCTCTCTCTCTCTCTCTCTCTCTCTCTCTCTCTCTCTCTCTCTCTCTCTCTCTCTCTCTCTCTCTACCTCTCTCTCTCTACCCTCTCTCTCTCTCTACCCTCTCTCTCTCTACCCTCTCTCTCTCTCTCTCTCTACCCCTCTCTCTCTCTACCTCTCTCTCTCTCTCTCTACCCCTCACGCTCTCTCTCTCTCTCTCTCTCTCTCTCATATATCCCATGCATGAACGCATAAAGTGAGCGAGATGGTATGCAGCATCTTCGAAACTTTTCTCTCTCATTTGATTCAATTTGGTTTTAGAAGCATATGAATGGGCGTTAATTCAAGTAAGTTACATTTTTGCGCCGTCCACATGCGCTTGATAGCAACGACGACCTCCAATAAGTGACGAGGAACATTTTACTTGCCCATAGTTTGTTTTTTATAAATTTAGTATGAACGCTGTATTTTAAAAGAGACAGTGTCAAACCTGACAACATTTCAATCTTTCGTTATATCAGCCTTTGAATTTTATCTCACCAAAAATTATACGCATGCACATTATAGTAATTCGCTGAAAATGAATGTATGCGCAATACATTTACTGAAAATGTATGGCTTCAATTATTTACGTTGAAATTATTTCAACATGATGGTTAGAAAGATTAAGAAATATTTAGGTTAATAATATGAAACAAGCGAAAAACTAGAAAATTGATATATATCTATGCGTGTGGCTAAATGAGATGTAAATGCAGAATACGTGGTGAGTCGCTGCTCGGTAGATGTGGCTGCTGGCGGTTGTCGTCGTCCCCACCTGGCGATATTCCTTTCGATACTACGTCGTTTGACACATCCCTCCCTTCATTGCACCGCTGGTTCCGTTGGGTACCATTTTGACTTTTGGCTGGTGGGCCCTTGTGAATCGGATCGATCAGATCTCTGTCGGCGAAAGCAAGAAGACAGAAACGTGCTAATCAAGCTTGCGAACGTCACTGGGAATGATTTGGCGAAAAAATGTCATCGTCTATGAAAAGAATCATCACTTTGTGAGGTCCCAAATTCATAGGAAGTCCAATCGAAGTTCAGGGAATCTTCTCTACAGGTAGACAGCTAGA